TTCCAAACACACACACATACACACTCTCATGGGAGCCGCTTCCAAACACACACACACACACACACACACACACACACACACACACACACACACTCATGCACAGAAGGTGTTCAGCACCCAGGGAAACAGTCCCAAAGAAACAAATGCACTTTGCATGCCTGCAGTGAAAGAACCTCCTCTCAGTGTTGAGGCTGTGGTTGGTTCCCAGGGTCTGTGTCGTCTGTGCTCTGGGGACGGACATGGTAGGGATGGCCTCTGGGGGCTGGGAAGTGAAAAACCAACCAACCGAACTGTATGGGCAGCTAACTGTTCCGTTAAGATGGACCTGTGAACTAAATCGGAGGGAAAGTGACTAAAGGCATTACTGCATTTGGTTTCACAACTCTTCCTGGCCAGGGAAATGAAAGCTGGGGGTCAGAGGGGAACTGCCTCAGGGAGCAACAGGTTCAATCTTACTGCAGAGCTGAAGAAACCTCCCTCCAGGCAAAATAAGCAGAGGGGGCAGGTGCTCTGCAGACTTCCAATCCAATGTGATTCCAGAACTTCGTGCAAAGCGAAAACACCCAGAATTCTCTAGCCTGGAGAGCTGACAGTTCAGGGACATGACAGTACACCGCAGGAAGGTGACTGGGTAAAGACGAAATCCACTCACTGCACATGTGAGTGCCAGGCCTGCTGCACCAGCCACCCGATAACTCTGTTCTGCACATGATTTTGAAGTAGATGGTCAGGAACATCAATGAGAGCGGGCAGAAAGCAAATCCACCCAGAAAAGCGAAGGCAGGACGAGCACCGTGTTTTACATCATGTTCACCGACAGCCCATAGGAAGTTCTGGGTTCATCTGTAACGAAATCCAAATTCAATGCTCACTGGGCTCTAGAAAACACAACTTTGGTTCTACGGTAATTTTGGTGGCTGACAGTTGTCCACTGAGAGCCACTAGGAAGTTTTCTCCTCCAGGGCGAGGAGGCACGTGTGGTAAATGTGAGGGTTAGGCGCTAAGGCTGGTGCCAGCACTCTCCACCCTGCCGGCGCCTTCGCCTTCACCGGGCTGTGGTCCTGACGCATGTCCCAATGCTTCTGTGGTTCTGACAGCACATCCCAACACACTTCCGTGGCTCTGAGAGCATATCCCACTCTTCTGGTTTTTTTTTTCTTTTTGGGTCACACCCGGCAATGCACAGGGGTTATTCCTGGCTCTGCACTCAGGAGTTACTCCTGGCGGTGCTCAGGGAACCATATGGGATGCTGGGAATCGAACCCGGGTCGGCCGCGTGCAAGGCGAACGCCCGACCCGCTGTGCTATCGCTCAAGCCCCATATCCCACACTTCTTTGTTCCAATCTCCTTTTCAGAATGTTTCCCAGGGGACCCACCCTGGGAGCACTCGGTGCTAAGAGACCTGAGGAAGCACATTTGAAAATGGGATTGGAAGTGGGATTATCTGCTGGACAGCTGGCAGTGAGGACGGTCTGCAGCAGAGAGCGACTGGGGCACCGTCTCGGGGCGGGCCTTAGGACTTTCCTCCACTGGGCGGAGGTGGAAGGAGGTAGGTGTTCATGGGGGACCTCTATCAGAGACACAGATGACTGCGGGCTGAATCAGCTCTGGTGCTTCAGAAAAAGAGAAGGAAAAAAAAAACTGGAGCAACAGGACAGCAGGGAGGGCATTTTTTTGCACGCGGTTGACCCAGGTTGGATCCCCAACATCCCATAGGGTTCTCAGAGTAATCCCTGAGTGCAGAGACGGGGAAACCTCTGAGCATGCTGGATGTGGCCAATCCTCACCCCCTCTCCCTGCCCCCCCCAAAAAAAGGCAAGAAGAGGCTAGGGGGTCCCAGTTCTAGCCTGATGACCTTTTGCTTTGTTTTGGGGGTCACACCCAGTCGTGATCAGGGCTTACTCCTGGCCTCTGTGCTCAGGGATCACTCCTGGTGGGGCTGGGGAGACCACGCGGGGTGCTGGGACTTGAACCTGGGTTGGTCGTGTAAGTGCCCTACCCGCTGTTCTATCTCTCCAGGGATATACACAGAGCCAAACATAAGCTCAAGTGTGGCCCCAGACAAAAACCAAAACAATCAAAAACAAAATAAAAAAAAATTTGGCCACTCCTGGTGGGGCTCAAGGGATCAAATAGGATGTCGGGGATTAAACCCTTGTTGGCTGCATGCAAGGCAATCGCCCTACCTGCTGTACTCTGCCCTGAGTGCTTGAAAAAAAAAAATATATATATATATATTCCCTTTATGGGTCACACTCGGCAATACCCAGGGGTTATTCCTGGCTCTGCACTCAGTAATTACTTCTGGCGGTGCTCCGGGGACCATATGAGATGCTGGGGATCAAACATGCATGGCAAATGCCTTACCCACTGCACGATCACCTTCAGCCCCGAAAAATAAATCTTTATTGAATTAAACTACCTATGAAATATAGGTGCTTCAGGACAGGGAAGCTGTTCAAAAACTGCTTGTGGGGCTGGAGCGATAGTATATGGGGAGGGCGTTTGCCTTGCACACGGCCAACCCGGGTTTAATCCCCAGCATCCCATGTGGTTTTCCGAGCACCACCAGGAGTAATTTCCTGAGTGCAGAGCCAGGAGTAACCCCTGAGCATCGCTGGGTGTGACCCAAAAAGCAAAAAAAGCAAAAAAAAAAAAAAAGCCTGCCTTGAATGTGTGACTCTGGCTTTGATCCCTGACATTGCAAATAAGTGAACAAGATTTTCCAGTATGTGCAATTGACTAAAAAACACAACATTGTATTCGTCACCCCACAATACCTTGGGCGGGATGCAGGGAACAGTGAGACCCAACTGTTAGCTCCACCTGTTCCCCAGTGGGTCAGTGATGTCACACAGGTGATATGAGATTAATGGTCAGTATCACACAGTACGCTGTAGCAGTCTCTTGCTGCAGACCAGGAGTCCTGTCCAGTGAAAGCTGGCTACTAAGCATTCACTAGTTATCCTATCGCTCTGGTCCCAGAAAAAAAAATTTTTCATTTATTTTGTGGCAGTCTCCTGCCCCTGCGCCTGACTGTCCTCGCCGCTGGGGCCCCTTGGAGGGGAGCGGGTTGAGCTTTCCTCCCCGCCCCGACCAGGGCTCCAGCAGCCGAAGACCTCCAGGACCAGCCACCACCATGCTGAGACCACTCTCCGCACACATGAAGGTACTGGCAGAGGGACAAAGTCACGCGGGTCCCGGGGCCGAGATCTCCAAGCCTACTCGGATTTGGGCCAAGCATCCTCCACCCAGATCCTCCAAATTCCAGTAGGCGGGGGTCACACCCACCAACTGGCCCCCTGGTGCCGCGTAATCCCATCAACGGCCAAGACTCAGAGACTATACAAACCAGCTCCCGGAACCGCGGGGCTGCAACATCCTATTATGACATCTTATTATCTCATCCCTACTTTGGACAAACTGGCAGGCTATCGAATGTAGCCTGCCCACACGGCAGAGTCTGGCAAACTTCCCGTGGCGCACCCAATATGCCAAATACCAGTAACAATGATGGGTCTCATTCTCCTAAAGAGCCTTGGATATAATCTCAGGACTAGGATGAAGGAGACGTTACTGGGGCCTGCTCGAGGCAATCGACAATTAACAGGATGATTTGTGATTTGTGTGATTTTGTGGAAGGAATTGTGTAGAATTGGTATACATTTATCTTTAAAACATTTGGGTTTTTGGGCACTGGGGGGTTTTAAGTTAGGAATTCATGTTCCTAGTGTGGATATTCATGTGATCCATTTCATTTTAGTAGTTTTATTTTGGGGGAGGTTACTTGGAAATGTTCAGGGGTTACTTCTGGCACTGCTCTTAAGAACTACTGCCGGCAATGCTCAGGGGTGCTGGGGGTTGAACCCAGGATGGCTGCCTGCAAATCTAGGGCCTTCCCCACTGTATTACCTCTCAGGCACTAATTTCTTAGTTCAATGTACTTAAAGATTCCCTTAATACTTCACTGATCTATAAATTACAAGTGTGTGCGTTACTTAAGTTTTTTAGAAATTTGTGGCCTCTGAATTGCTCCGTGCTGGTTGGGAAATAATTCTGGTCAGCTCAAGGGTAGAATCATCAGGGCAGCGGCTGCTGTGGAACTCTCAGTAGTTCCAAGGGTCTTGTGTGCATCCAAGTGCTGAAGTTGGCTGTATGTGACCTCAGACAGAGTAATAGGAACCAGTGGAGAGGAGTGGGCTTGGAGTGACTTTTAGTACACTGGGTAAAGGGCTTGGCTCGCACGCAACTCAGGTTCAATCCCCAGCCCCCTCTATGGTCCAGAACCCCACTAGAAGTAATCCCTGAGCGCAGACTCAGGAGTAAATCGTGGGCACTGCCAGGTGTGGCCCAAAAATCAAAACAGATTTTTTTTTTAAAAAAAGCTGAATGTCTTGGGCAGGTTTTACCTTCCCTAAACCACAGCTGTTGCAGTTACATGCGCAGAGCTACTTCATTCATCGCCTACTGGGACATCTTATTCCACACCCACCCAACAACAAGCCCCAGATCCTAACTCTGATAGAGAGACTGAGCTTCTCGGCCAAAATTTCAGGAGGTAGTTTACAAATAATCTGAAGTCCCCAGGCAGGCTCCTTTTATTTTAGCTTTGTTTTCTCCAACATTCACCCTGGGGTCTATTTGGATTTCTGTAAGGGGCCCATTGTGCTTATTCATGCTGACGTACAGCTAATGGAAATTCAATTTTAAGAGCAGACATAGATTGTTGAGTAATAACGCCCACAGCAATTACGAGCTACAGCATGCACGTGCGTGCGTACGTGTGTGTGTGTGTGTGTGTGTGTGTATGTGTGTGTTCGGCTTCGTTCCTTGTTTCTGGGCCCCGTCTGGAAGTGCTCAGGGACCATAGCAGTGTTGGGGATGGGATTGCCTACTTGCAAGGCAAGTGCCCTGCCTGCTGGACTTTAGCAGCCAAAACCTCAGTGGTGCAGTGGACACCCCATCTGTCCTGTACCCTAACAAAGAGAAAAACACCATCTCAGAGCACAATCTCTTTATTTCTGAGATAGAAATCCGACACGGGCCAGTTCTTTCTGTGTCCCAGTGAATTCCAACAAAGGAAGAGGCTGACCAGGCTCGAGACTGCCCTGGTCTACCGACCCCCAGCTTCTTCTCTTGATCTTCATGAAGACCAGAGCCTGGAATTTATGCTGCAACACAGGCCCCATCAGCCCGACCGTGGGAAGAAGCCAACAGCAGCGACGGCGAACGCGGACACTTGAGCAAGGGCACGTGTGCTGTCAGCAGGGCGCCCGAGAGCTCATGGCAAGCCGGATCGGGGTGTCAGCCTGTCTCTGCTCCTTGGCTGTCACTGCCCCGTGGGGGAGCAGCTCAAGTCCCCTGGGAGCTGCTGGGGGCTCTTCCCTGGGCACTCTGCTGGGCTAGCCAGTGCTTGTATCTTTTCGTCTTGGGCCTTTCAAAGTTCACCACCGACATCGGAACCCTCACAGTGTCAAGTCCGTTTACCTGCACACGCGGAACAACAAAATCCTGAGATACAGCCGGAGCAGTGTGAACAGCCCAGTCGCACCTGCTTGCATACCAGAGACGTCCAGTTCAATCCCAGGACTGCTGGGCCTGTGCAGCACTGGGCTGAGTGTGGCCAGGAGTGACCCCAGACATCCCAAGCAAACCTTGCCTAGGGGCTGCCCACCACACACACAGAAGGGAGAACACTCACCGTCACCTCACACCAGTACTCGCCCCTCCGTGTGATGGGCTCTTCCGGGAGCTTCAATGCGTGCGGGGAGACCACAACACCAAGCTGCAAAGAACAGGCAAGAGGAGCTCTGCATGCCTGGCACCACAACCGGCGGCCTCAGAGGGAGGGTTCTAGAATCTCCCCCCCCCTTTTTTTTTTTTGCTTTTTGGGTCACACCTGGCAATGCACAGGGGTTCCTCCTGGCTCTGCACTCAGGAACCACTCCTGGCGGTGCTCAGGGGACCATATGGGATGCTGAGAATCGAACCCGGGTCGGCCGCGTGCCAGGCAAATGCCCTACCCGCTGTGCTATCGCTCCAGCCCAACGTTCAACTTTCTTTTTTTAAAATTTTTTTTTTTTAATTTTTGGGTCACACCCGGCGATGCACAGGGATTCCTCCTGGCTCTGCGCTCAGGAGTTACCCCTGGCGGTGCTCAGGGGACCATATGGGATGCTGGGAATCGAACCCGGGTCGGCCCCATGCAAGGCAAACGCCCTGCCCACTGTGCTATTGCTCCAGCCCCGAATCTCCTTTTTGTGCCACACCCGACGGGGCTCAGGGATCACTCCTGGTGGGGTTTGGGGAACCACGTGGGGTGCCAGGGAAGGAACCTGGGTCGGCCATTCGCAAGGAAAGCGTTCTACTACATCTGTACTTCTGCTCTGGCCCCCAGGCTAGGTTGTCTTGAACAGGGATGAATAAAATGGGGGGGCTTTGCTGGGGGCTCACTCCACAGGCCGGCAAGAGCTCCAGAACTGGTGGCAGAGAAACTCAGTCCTGATTTCCCCGCAGGAAGGGAAAGGGATTCACAAAGGCAGATATGTCCTGAAGCCAAAATACATTAGCCACAGAAATAAAACTCTACAGCCAAACACAGTTCCTAACTAGAGAATGAATAAGTAAAACCACCAACTTTTCCCTGTTGGTTTTCAAATTTATGTTCCCAATATGAAAAAGTGCTCCTCGTCACTCATGATCAGGGAAATGCCTATCAAAAACAATGAAAAACATCTCAAAACAGGACTAGCCTTTCATTGAACCAGCAACACCATGTCTTGGCATCTTTCTCCAAAACATGTTAATTTCAAAAGATCTCTGCAAACCAATGTTTATCACCGCATTTAGTACAATAGCCAAGATACGACACAACCCCAAAGCCCAACTCTGGGTGAATGAATAAAAAAAGTTGTGGTATCTATACATAATGGAATACTATGCAGCTCTGATAAAGAACAAAAATCATGCAGATTTCCTTGAAATGGATGAGTCTGAGGATATCATGCTGAGTGAAATCAGTCAGAAGGAAAATGACTGACACAGAATGGTCTCTCACATGTGAGACTTGTAAGATGCACGGCAAAGAAGTAACAAAGCACCAGAGTCAACACAATGGGAGAACTGATCCATATAAGTGAGCTGGGGGGTGGCAGGTTGAAAGGGAGGGAGTTGGGGGTCTAGGGGAAGGGAGGAGGGTACACTGGTGATGGGTGTGATGTTGGATTATGTACACTTCACACTATTATAAATCACAGTAACTTAATCAATAGGGGGAAAATTGCTCTTCCCTAGGGTTGCTTCATTAATAATAATAAAAGCTAAAATTTACACACACGTTCACTGCAAAAACCGGATTTTTTAGAAAGCAAAAACATAACGAAATACTAAGAACCAAAATCTCCCAAATTTGCGTGCTCACTCCTGATCCTCAGCCTGAGCCCCTTCACGCCCACAACCTGCTCAAACCAACCAACCAACCAACCAACCAAGGGGCCAGTCCTGGCCACCAAGGGTTTAGCGGCTCTGGGGATACTCACGTTTCTGAGGAAGTGACGGGCAACTATTTCAGGGCTTAGTTCCCATTTGACGTTATTCTTCATCCCTACTTCCAGGTGGCAATTTTTTAGGAATTTCACTGTCTGAGAGAAATATACAGGGGAGAGGTGAGAACTGGTTCCCAGGAGAAAAAAAAAAAAAAACGAGAAAAGCGAGGCAAAGGCAGGAGGAGTGATTCCTGTCTGCAAGTGGCCAGACGAGAGGAGGAAAGGGCAAGATGGACAGGCTGAACTGACCAGGCCCCACCGTCTCCCGCGAAGCACCGGTGTTCTCTGTTTTGGGATGAGGATGGTGTGGGCCCCACCTGGCAGTGCTCAGAAGCTGCTCCCTGCTCTCGGTGATCGTGGTGCTGGGGACTGAACCGGGCACTAACCCCTGTACTATCTTCTCCTGCCCCAGAATGATTGCCAGAAACTATTTCGTCAGTATTTCTGGACTTCCCATCCTACCCCTACACCAGTAATGACTCCCAATTACAAGGGGAAGAAGGAATTAATAATCTGAGGAATCAAGACCCTTTTTTGGGGGGGGCCAGACCTGGCAGTGCTCAGGGCTTACTGCAGGGTTTGAGACCAGATTTGGTGCCGGGGTTGAACTGGGTGGGCCGTGTGGAAGGCAGGAGCCCCAGACCCTGCACTCTCCACCCCCAAGTCATTTTTATTTTTTTGCTCTTTTTTGGGGTCACACCTGGCAATTCACAGGGGCTACTCCTGGCTCTGCACTCAGGAATTACTCCTGGCCGTGCTCAGGGGACCATATGGGATGCTGGGAGTCGAACCCGGGTCGGCCGCGTGCAAGGCAAACGCCCGACCTGCTGTGCTATTGCTCCAGCCCCCCCAAGACATTTTCTAAATCTTGTCACATCCCTTTCTACCTCTACTAACACACTATGTAGGTCGTCCAGCTACACTGGTCTGCTTTTGGTTCTGGGCCACACAGGGCAGTGCTCAGGAATTACTCCTGGTCTGCAGGGGACCATACAGGATGCAGGGGACTGAACCCGGGCCGGCTTCATGCAAGGTAAGTGTCTGACCCGCTGTGCTACTGCTTTAACTCCTAGACTGCCCATGTGTCAATATATACTTTAAACATATTCACACTTTTTCTCCTTTAACTCCGGCAAGCTACCGAGAGTATTCGATATGCCAGACACAGTAACAACAAAGTCTCCAATGGAGACGTTACTGGGCCCGCTCGAGCAAATCGACGATCAACGGGAGGGCCTTTCTCCTTTAAAAAAACACCTTTCCCTGGAGCTAGAGAGATGGTCCAGGGATAAGGTGCTTGTCTTACATAGGCCAACACTGGTTCGCTCCCTGAGCACAGACAGAGAAGCACATCCAGAGCATGGGCTTCCCCCACCCCCAACACAAGAAGGAACAGCTCCCCCTCACCCCCCCGAAAAAAAAAAAAAACCCACACAAAAAAATGCAAAGAGAAACCTAAAACAAAATGTTCCCAATCCTTCTGGCCAAAAAGCCCTCTCCAATCACCCTAGTCCATTTCTGTCTGTGTCACCTTTTTTTTTTTTTGCTTTTGGGGTCACACCTGGTGATGCACAGGGGTTACTCCTGGCTCTGCACTCAGGAATGACTCCTGGCGGTGCTCAGGGGACCACATGGGATGCTGGGAATCGAACCCGGGTCAGCCACGTGCAAGGCAGACACCCGACCCGCTGTGCTATTGCTCCAGCCCTGCAGATGTCATTTCTACTGTATTTTTTTGGCTTTTTTGGGTCACACCCGGCTTTGCACAGGGGTTACTCCTGGCTCATGCACTCAGGAATTACTCCTGGCGGTGCTCAGGGGACCATATGGGATGCTGGGGATCGAACCCTGGTCGGCCGCTTGCAAGGCAAACGCCCGACCCCTGTACTATAGTTCCAGTCCTCTGTCATTAAATTTTATTTTATTTTTTTGCTTTTTGGGTCACACCCAGCGATGCTCAGGGGTCACTCCTGGCTCATGCACTCAGGAATGACTCCTGGCGGTGCTCAGGGGACCAAATGGGATGCTGGGAATCGAACCCGGGTCGGCCGCGTGCAAGGCAAACGCCCGACCCGCTGTGCTCTCGCTCCAGCCCCTCTACTGTACTTTTTGGCCTCTCCAGGATATATTCCCAGAAGTGCCGCTGCTCATTCTGACTTTCTGGCCTGTATCCTCAAGCACCAGTTAATAACTAACCAATCACTTTCTCATGTGTCTGTATTCCCTCCCACAAGCCTGTCAACACTTCTGCAGCCCCGGCTCTTCCTTTCGCTTCAGCTGGGCTCCCTGGTATCCAGGCTGGGGTCTCCCAGGAGGTCTCCATACCTCTGACGGCTGTCACAAGACTTCCTGCCCTCCCCGCTGGGTCCACCACTGGAGGCTTAACTCAAAGGTCTCTCAGGAAGCAGCCCGGGACTCCTGTAGATTTCCAATAAATATTACGTTCTACTCACCGCCTCCCCTGCCTTGGTTTGGATTTTCTCCAATTTTCCTTTCTGTCTCATCTAAAAAAAGAAATAATGGAAGAAAATGTTTAAATACTCGTGGTATATATGCACAAATGCCTTTTTTTTTTCACTTTTGCTTTTTTGGGTCACACCTGGCGAAGAACAGGGGTTACTCCTGGCTCTGCACTCAGGAATTACTCCTGGCGGTGCTCGGGGGGCCATATGGGATGCTAGGAATCGAACCCGGGTCGGCCACGTGCAAGGAAAACACCCTTTCTTATGCTTGGCACAGGCTGTTGTGAAATCTCATTTTTTTTTTTTCTTTCTGGGTCACACTTGGCGACGCTCAGGGGTTACTCCTGGCTCATGTACTCGGGAATGACTCCTGGCGGTGCTTGGGGGACCATATGGGATGCTGGGACTCGAACCCGGGTTGGCTGCGTGCAAGGCAAACGCCCTACCCGCTGTGCTATCGCTCCAGCCCCCGAAATCTCATTTTCTACCACACCTCCGTACTTATCAAAGGAAAGGAGGTGCCAGTAGAAGTCTTCAGGGTATTTTGTTCTGGAGTGAATAGTGCATCGGCCAGGGCATTTGCCTTGCAAGCTGCACACCCAGATGTGATCCTGGAACCCCATATGGTTCCCTGAGGCTGCTGGGACAGATTCCTTAGCACTGCTGAGTATGGCTCAAAAAACCCAAAACCAAAACCAAAATAAATTAAAAAATCTTCAATTGTTTTTTTTTTTTTTGGGGGGGGGGGGCTACACCCAGCCCTGCAAGGCTCTGTGCTCAGTGATCACTGTGATCAGTGCTAGTGGTGCTGGGGGACTGACCTCGCCCTGGCCGCACACCCAAAGGGCCTGAACTCAGTACTCCCTCCTCTGGGCAGTGACCTTCAGTGCTCTTCCTCCTTCAAGTCCCTTTTGAGCTCACCAATCTCTCCTCTTCAAACAGCTGCTTGTTTTCAGGGGACGCGTATACGGCCAGTCCTTGGGGCAGCAGCCGGTTCCGGCCCAGCGATTTCTTCACGGACACCAGGTCGCCCCGGACTCCTAGTTCTGCAGAGGAGATCCTGGATCAGAACCGGGCAGGAGGGGTGGACCGACCCGAGGGCTGATGCTTCCGAGAACCTTACTGCTTGTAACGGCATTGACAATCACTGTGTTTTTTTGGAGGGAGGCACACTCCGGGGGTGCTCAGGGCCTGGGGAACCGCATGGGGTGCCGGGATCGAGCCCCCCAGCTGCGGGGCGCCAGGCCCCGTGCACTGCGGCTTCTCCCGGCTGCGGGGAAGGTGACGTTCCCCTGCCCCGAGGTCCCGATCGGGCGCAGTGTCCGAGCACCCTCGGCCGCTCCTACCGTCCACGGACCGCGTGAGGATGAGGTCCAGGGTGCCCTGCGGCCGGTGCTTCGTGTCCTCCACCAGCCGGTACACGCGATGCCGCCGGTGCAGCCGCGGCGTCCGCCCCTCTCCGGCCAGCGGCACCTTCCACCAGCGCTCCACGATCACTGTGTCCTGGGGGAGGGCGCGGGGGCCAGCGCGTGAGTGCGGGGCTGGGGGGCGGGGGGGGAGCGCGGGGCACCCGGCCCGGCCCTTACCCGGCTCTGGGAGAGGCCGAAGTCGCGCGCCAGGCCCGGGCTGGCCGCTCCCGGCCGCGGCCCGAGCAGCTGCCTCCCGGCGCCCGCCCGCAGCAGAGCGCGGACCACGGCCGCCGCCATGTCCCCCGGCGCGCAAGGACCCCGCGGCTGCCCGCGCCGCGCCCGAGCGCCGAGCCGAGTCGGGACGAGCCGAGTCGGGACGAGCCGAGCCGAGACGAGCCGAGTCGGGACGAGCCGAGCCGAGACGAGCCGGGACGAGCCGAGCCGAGACGAGCCGAGTCGGGACGAGCCGAGCCGAGACGAGCCGAGTCGGGACGAGCCGAGCCGAGACGAGCCGAGTCGGGACGAGCCGGGACGAGCCGAGCCGAGCCGAGTGGGGACGAGCCGAGTCGGGACGAGCCGAGTCGGGACGAGTCGAGCCGAGACGAGCCGGGACGAGCCGAGTCGGGACGAGACGAGCCGAGCCGAGCCGGGACGAGCCGAGTCGAGCCGGGAGGAGCCGAGTCGGGACGAGCCGAGCCGAGCCGAGTGGGGACGAGCCGGGACGAGCCGAGCCGGGACGAGCCGAGAAGAGTAGGGACGAGCCGAGCCGAGCCGGGACGAGCCGAGTCGGGACGAGCCGAGCCGAGTGGGGACGAGCCGAGCCGAGCCGAGTGGGGACGAGCCGAGTCGGGACGAGCCGGGACGAGCCGAGCCGAGTCGGGACGAGCCGAGTCGAGCCGGGACGAGCCGAGCCGAGCCGAGCCGAGCCGAATGTCGGGTTGGCCGAGCCCAGGCAGCCGAGCGCCGGGAGGCTGGTCGCCGTTGCTGGTTCCGTGGTCCATGCACTTCCTTTAGCCCGCTCGGTGGCCGGGCCGGGCCCAGAGAGCCACAGAGCGTGCAATGAGCGCCAGTTGGGCCGACACCAGGAACGACACGGCTGACCTCTGTGCTGGCTTCATTCCGACTTTATTTTTGCTTTTTTTTTTTTTTTTAAATTTTTGGGTCGCACCCGGTGATGCACAGGGGGTCGTTACTCCTGGCTCTGCACTCAGGAGCTACTCCTGGCGGTGCTCGGGGGACCCTATGGGATGCTGGGAATCGAACCCGGGTCGGCGGCGCGTGCAAGGCAGACGCCCTCCCCGCTGTGCTAGCGCTCCAGCCCCTCATTCCGTCTTTGGCAGGAAGGTGTCAGGGGCCCGGGCTCCCCCCGCGGTCCCCCCAACTCCAGCACTGACAGCTGTCGCTCCACTCTGGGCCACTGTCAAGTGCTGCAGGTGGATTCCCACCCACTCCGGCGCGTTTGAGCCAACAGGCAACGAGGACTGGGAATCACAAGGGCCAACGCCCTCGAGGGGAAGTGGGGAAGCAGGCGGGGTCCGAGAACACGGGTTGGGGCCAGAACGATCCTCGATACTCTATGCTCTGAGCATCTCGACCTCGCTCCAAATCACACTTCCTTGCGCCTGGAGAACTTCAGTTTCAGTTCAGTTTTTTTTTTTTTTTTTGGTTGTTGCTTGTTTTGGGGCCACATCGAGCGGTGCTCTGGAGTTACTCCTGGCAATCACTTTTTTTTGGGGTGGGGAGGTGGGTGTGGGTGGGCCGGGCAACATGGGATGAGAGCTATAGAGTCCGGTGACCTCCATTAAAAAGGATTTTTTTTTTTTTTTTGCCTTTTGGGTCACATCTGGCATTGCACAGGGATTATTCCTGGCTCATGCATTCAGGAATTACTCCTGGCGGTGCCCAGGGGACCATATGGGATGCAGGGAATCGAACCCGGGTTGGCCGCGTGCAAGGCAAACGCCCTACCCGCTGTGCTCCAGCCCGAAAATGTTTTTAATTGCGGTAACATGGTTTGCAGTGGTAGCAAGTTAGGCTTTAGCTTCACAATGCTACTGCAGTACACACTGATCAACGGAAGTGCCAATTCCCCTCCCAATTAGGGTGCTTCTCCTCTGCCCTATTCGCTCTCTCACCCTCTCCCCCATTGATAAACAACTTAGTTGTCAGATTTATTCATCTCCTCACTCCCCTTCCTCCTACCCCCTTTCTCCCACCTCTCCTGGAAAATTCAGAGCTCATCTTCCAAATAATCTGAGCCCCCGAACTGCCCCAACTGCAGTCTATTCTATTTAGGTTGATGAGAACTCTATTCTTTTGGGGACCAGATCTATAGGACAGTAAGTAGGGTCTTTGTCTAAAAAAAATCTCCTATTCTCCAGCTGAAAGTGCTCCAATCTACATGGCCTCTTGGCTGTCTCTTGAAAAACATCTTCTGACATGTTACGTTATATATCTAAATTATATATGTGTATACACACAAAATCTCCTGCCCTGTGCCAGCCAGGCTGTCTTCACTGGGGCCCCTCGGAGGTGGGGGGGTGGGTTGAGTCTCCCTCCCCACCCCAAGCAGAAACCCGGCAGCCGAAAACCTCCAGAACCCAAACACAGCCATGCTCAAGCCACTCTCCACATGCTTGGACGAGCCTCACACATGAAGGAACTGGCAGAGGAACCCAGGTATGCAGGACCTGTGGCTGAGATCTCCAGGCTTGCTCGGATCGGGATTGCTCCCCCTTCACCCAGATCCCCAGTTTTCCAGCAGCTTGGCAGTCACACCTATAAACTGCCCCTGGCGCCATGTAATCTCATCAACGGCCAAGATGCAGAGGCTATAAAACAAAGCTCCCAGAAGAGGGCGATGCAGTTTCTCCCTCTCACTACTCAGAGTATCCCGCCCACACGATGGAGCCTGGCAAGTTACCTGTGACGTTTTTGATATGCCAAAAACAGTAACAATAACGGGTCTCATTCCCATGACCCTGGAAGAGCCCCCAATATGCCACAGGGCTACACTAGCACGGGGCAGGGAGAAATGGAGATGTTACTGGCACCCGCTCAAGCAAATCCATGAACAATGGGACAAGTGATACAAGTGATACACACACACACACACACACACACACACACACACACATCTCCCCACCCAATGGACCCAGCCCCAGCACCACTGCCCAACCACCACCACGCTCCAGGATGCTTTCTGGACTGCGTGGCTGCAAAGCGGCTGCGTGACACAGTGTAAGACACTTCCTACCCATTTATGCCTCCCGGAGAGCCTGGCAAGCTACCGAGAGTATCCTGCCTGTGTGGGCAGAGCCTGGCAAGCTTCCTGTGGTGTATTTGATATGCCAATACAGTAATGAAAATAGGTCTCATTCCCTTGACCCTGAAAGTGCCACCAATCTTTGGGAAAAGATGAGTAAGAGGCTGCTGAAATCTCAGGGCTGGAAGAGAGATATTACTGGCACCTGCTCAAGTAAGTCAATGATCAATGGGATAACAGTGATAGTGATATATATATATATATATATATATATATATATATACATACATATATCACTGTCCTCCCGTTGTTCATCGATTTGCTTGAGTGGGTCCAGTAACATTGTGAAACTTTACTGTGTTTGGCATATTGAATATGTCACGGGGAGCTTGCCAGGCTTTGCCATGTGGATGAGATACTCTTGGTAGTTTGCCGGGTTCTCTGAGAGGGGCAGAGGAATCGAACTTGGGTCAGCCATGTTGGCTGCATGCAAGGCAACCGCCCTACCCACTGTGCTACCTCTCCAGCCCATATATATACATATACATATGTATATATATATATATATTTGGTTTTAGGGCCACAGTCAGGAATGCTCAGGGATCACTCCTGGCAGGGCACATTTTGGGGTACCAGGGATCAAACTGTGTACAAGCCAACTGCCCTCCCAGCTGTATTGCTCAATATTTTTGTTAAGATCCAACGTTTCCTTAAAACTTGGGCGAAACTTAACCACAAACTTGTCTTTCTATATCGGGAAAAATTATATGATCCAGTCCAGTGAATTTTCACGTGGCAATGGGACAGAGATGGTCGTGTTTTTTAGATCGGGCGTGAGCTATTTTGCTATGACTCCATCCAGCAGCCCCTGGATAATGAATTTCCATTAACTTTGCAAAGGCAATGCTCCTATCCTATGAGTCAAGAAAATGTTTCTCAATGGGTATCACCCCTAGGTTATTAAAGGCAGGGATGATGGTAAAATCACAGAGTAGGAATCAGGAACAGCAGGTCAGATGCCGAATCTGGCCCTTAACGAACGTCTCCTCTCATTAGAGAGCAACCAGCCCTGTAAATCGCTTAATTTTAGGGGAAGCTGCTGTGTGTGTGCCACAGGGTGTAGTTTGGGTATTCAGGCATGAGAGGTATCAACTGACACACATGCTGAATACTTGTGAAGGAAGGGGTCTGTAGTTATACAGGCGCCTTGGTTAAGGGGGCAGAGTGGGGCAGGGCCGCCCTTGGTCTGTGTCACAATACCAAGCTAGGTCACAATGTCACCAGTTTGCCTGAATTCGTGCCACCCACCTCTGAACTTCACTTTGCCAAAGGGAGGCACTGCACTGAGAAACTGCCTTGTTATGGGCAGGAAGCAGAAACCCAAGAACTTGGCCAAATGCTGGAGCTGGGCCTTGAACGCCTCCTGACCTTCCCAGACAGCAAGCAGGCCTTTGCATTACCGAGTTTTAGGGGAGGCGGTGTGTGTGTGTGAAGGCACCCGAGGTCTAGGTCGGGTGGGTGCAAAATGTTCAGGCGCGGATATTTACCGACCAGCACAGAAGCTATCCCTGCCCCTGGCAGAACCCTAAAGTGAGCAGCAGTTCAACTACTTGGTGGAGGGGGTTCGGCAGGGTGGGGCCGGGTGGGACTGGGTGACACAGGGCTGGCCGTGGTCTGTGTCACAGTGCCAGACTAGGTCACAATTGCACCAGATTGCCTAAATTCCTGCCACCAGCCTCAGTGTCACTTTGCCGCAGGGAGGCACTGAACTGAGAAACTGCCTTGTTCCAGGTCCCCCTCCACCTACACCCTTTCTTATATCAAGAGGGGAAAAACACGGAACTATCTCTACCCACTGTGGTCACCGTTTGCCTATTATCTCTACTGCTACAAATACCGGGTCACCCTCCGGGAAAAGATGCTACCTTGTTGGCCTTGTTGTAAAAGGTAACTTTTATCTCTTTATAACAACAAAAGCTTCAGGGAAAAGAAAACTTGAAAATATCCCAAGAGGGAAAAGAGAAGAGCAAAACAGGGTGAAAAGCTGGCATGGATCGTTTCCTGTTTCTTTTTTCTGCTGACCTGGGAAAATGAAAACGGACTGATCCATCAAGAGACAGCATAAAGTCAGAACTTGGGCCTATGCTGTAAATTATTTTGAATTTTATTATATCAAAATATATTTTAAAATGTTGAATATATATTTTATGCATAACAATTAAGTCTTATTTAAATTAACCTGAAATCATAAGCCTTGATCGTCAGGCTCAGAAACGAATTTTTGTACTTTTTCTCCCCCTAACCAGCATCACTTATAAGGAAGAGGAAGACTTGACACTCCGGCCCCGTTGCTGCCTTCAGTGCTCCTGAGTCCCTAGCGGGACTCCGGGCGGGTGGAAACACTGAGCAGGGTGACCAGGATCAACTTAAGGAATTGTATTCAGTAAGTGGACCGGGAGGCAGCACTGGAACCAGACAAAGATGATGAGACTTGGAGCTCGGGTGTAAAAGGAACTTGGAAATGTTCTTGGTGGTAGCGCACTTTCCTTGAATGTGAAAGGTTTCTGGGTTCAGTCCCTGGAGCCGCTGAAAAACGAACTTTGCTTTTATAGACAAGGATGCTGGTCCAGCATTTTAAATCAAGGTCAGAAGAGCTGATGGTCAAAGGAAGAAAAGGAAACGGGCAGGCTGCTGGGACAGAGTGCTGTTTAGACGCCAGCTGGGGCTGGAACCCAGACCAAAACTTCACCTTGCACCGTATTATAAAAAACAACCCGCCCACCCCCCAAAGAAAACACAAAAACCCCAAACCTACCTATGTACAAACCTTGGCATTTTAAATGATAAGTAGAATAACTTAGAGAAAATAATGAAGGGAAAATGGGAGAGTGGATCAGTGTGGTGGTAAAAATAGATGATGCAATGTGTCTAAAAGTTCTGATAGAATTGTCACGTTCTGAAAGGTTTTCACACCTGTGTGCTGAGGTTATCAGGCAGAAACCCTGCCCAGCTATTGGGAACTGCAGTGTAGACATGGAGTTATAATTGCGGAACACATGACACCTTGGTTCAAGACGCCCAAGTTAATCTGTTCTGAGGACCAAAGGAGCATGGAAGCAGATTATTGTATTTCCACTTCTTTTCCAGGCTGGGAACCTGACGGTGCTAGCTTCTGATCCCCTGCTCCACAAACACCCGGTGCAGTTAGACTTCCACTTCCGCCTCACCTCCAAGACCTCTGCCCATTGGCACGGCCTTCTCTGTGACCATCGACTCTTCCTGGATATCCCTTATAGGGCCTTGGATCAAGGCAACAGGGAAAGGTGTGCTGGGAGAGAGAACAGGCAGAGGAAGAGGTCCCACTCCTTTATTATGTCATAATAAGGCAGTGGGGCTGGAGCGATAGCACAGCAGTAGGGCGTTTGCCTTGTGCGTAGCCGGCCCTGCAGAGCCGGGTTCGATTCCTCTGCCCCCCTCGGAGAGCCTGGCAAGCTACCGAGAATATCTGGCCTGCAAGGCAAAGCCTGGCAAGCTCCCCGTGACGTATTCGATATGCCAAACATAGTAACAAGAAGTCTCACAATGGAGACGTTACTGGGCCCGCTCGAGCAAATCAAAAAACAACGGGAGGACAGTGCGACAGTGCTACAATAAGGCGGTGGGTATGTGACCACCGGGGGTTGATTCCAGAGCTGGCCATCAAGCCTCTGTTGAACTTGCACTCAAATTCACAAATACTGAAGTGGGGACACACAAATAATGGGTGGACAGGAAGTGCTTTCCAGCTGTTTTATGAAGGAGCCCCTTCTCCGCAGGCCCATTTCATGGCATGCTCCACTCTTGGCTTCAGAGAAAAGTGTCAAAACTAGGTAGCGGATTTCCAGGAAATACTGACCCGTATGTAGATCTTTCTAGATCTTGAGAAAATATTTCACTAACGGTTTTCCTCTCTAACCCCTAGTTTGACCGCGACCTTAGAATATGTGGAGGAGAAGACCAGTGTGGACTCCGTGTTTGTAAACTTCCAAAACAACCGGAAGGACAGAGGTAGAGATTGTCCTGACCTTTAGTGCGGAAGCAAGTTGACGGCACCTTTCCCTTAAGATACCCCCTCCTGACTCTTTAAATGCCTCTGAGCATTTCAGGGATGTCAAATCCCTAACCCCACTCTACACCATCAAGTAGTTTAATCGTCTTAGTTTCAAGTTTAAAATAAAGTTCAGATGGGATGACTCATCATAAAGCTAAGCGCTAGAGCCTAGGGTGGTTAGAACTTTATACTCCAAAGCACATTCTCCTAACACTGTGCTCCTTTCTCCGCAGGCAGCCGTTTCTTAGTGGAATAAGCGGAATTACCAGGGGGAACTAAAAGCCTGACCCTGCAGCACTGTTCTAATTGGTTCTTTTCCTTCCACAGGCGCCCTGCTAAGAGCCTTCAGCTACATGGGCTTTGAAGTTGTTAGACCAGGTCATCCAGCTCTCCCTCCCTGGAACAATGCCATCTTTATGGTATATCCACTTGAAAGGGACCATGGCCACCTGCCCAGTGAGCCTCCCTGAACGTGCTGATTCGGGCTTGGCACCTTGAATAACTGGGAACAAAGGCCCAGGGATATGATTCAGAACACCTTCCATCCTAGGGATTAAAGGGTAGTGCAATCCTTCACTGTGTTTTTTTTTTTCCTTTGGGGGATGGGAGGGGGGGAAGAGAATGAAGATTATCTGAGTAGAAAAATGAGCCTTATGAAGAGAAATTCACTGAATAATAAATATTTCAGAACTGAAAAGATCTGAGGGGCCTGAACTTGAGGAATTAGGGACTCAAGGATTTTGGGTTCCTATTATCTTCCATCTTATGCCACAGTCTTTTTTGGGGTGGGTGCTTTTGAGTCACACCTGTAGGTGCTCAGTTTACTCCTAGACACCACTTAGGGTGATCAAACCAGGGCTGGCAACACGCAAGGCAAGCACCTGAACCCTGTACTGTCTGGCCCTCAGAAAGACTTAAGTCTTACTGGGAAAGCTGTTATCTATATTATGTGGTTTCAATCTGAGACAAGTGCTAATATCCTTGGAAAGGGGGATGACTCCTAGGACCACCACCAAAGAACACACTGGGGGAGCAGCAGAAGAGTTGGGGGTTGTGCTTCAATAAGGAACCCAACAGAATGGGATGTACACTGCTGAGATGGACCTAATGGCCACATAAAGGAACATGTGTTTATTTTCTTTTCGGGTCACACATGGCGATGCTCAAAGGTTACTACTGGCTTTGCACTCAGGAATCATTCCTGGCAGTGCTCAGGGGACCATATGGGATACTGGGACTCAAACCCGGGTCGGCCGCATGTAAGGCAAACAAACGCCCTACCCGCTGTGCTATTGCTCCCGCCCCAGGAACATGTATTTATACAGTCATAAACTGCAGGTAGGAACGCATCACCAACTCTGCAGTGCAGGAATTCCTGAGTGATTTCTCGGGGATTCTCTCTAAGAGCAGACGCACCGAGGAACTGACAAAACTGAGAACTGGCCTGGCACTGTGACCCAGGTGTAGAACAGCCCCACTTCTAGACCATATTTTTTTCGGCGAGTGGACTGGTGAACCATGGTAGCTAGGATGACCAAGGGCAGTGCTTGATTCTGATGACTCAGTTCAAAAAAATGAGTTTGCTGTGCTCATTACGGTTTCATTTATCCTTAAGCAACTCATTTGCCATTCTGCCACCCACATTACTAGACACTGACAAAGTTGTCACTGTGTTCTCACAAGGTGGTCCCACAGACTTTGTAAGGAAACAGGCAAAATAACTATGGAACTCTTCTTGAAACCAAGGTTCATAGACTCCGAGTCCAGGAGTCCTTTCTTCCAAATATTTCGGGTGATATTATTTACACAGATTAATCCAAAGCTGGTTCTGGTTCTTAGTTATACACATACATGCATGTGTGTGAAGGTTCTTGAGTCACACCCAGCAGCACCTAGGGGTGGTAGTGAAGGATCACTCCTGCTGATGTTCGGGGGACCAAAAGTAGTGTTTACCCATGTAAGGCAAGTGTCTGACTCCTGCACTATCTGTCTTGCTCTGCAATCTTTGCCAGCTTAGAAGATACCCAATATACTTGCTTCTACTCATCCAACTGCTGAGTTTGAGATAATTTTGAGAACTTTATTCAGCAAAGGTTCCACCCAAGTAACTGAAAGTAACATGTTCTCATTTTCTTAAGTGTATATACATACATATTAGAAGTATTAGACCATTTCCTGAGCCACCTCTCTCCTTATACTTTAATCTAAGCTTCCAGGGAAACAGCTGGAGCCACTATTTTCAAAAACATCTCCAATAACACCAGCAGCTGAGGCTGGGAGACAGGAATCTCGTCTCACTCTTGGAGGTGGCTTCATATAATTACGCAGAACTTGTGCCTTTACTCAACGATCGTCACCACTCAAAAACTGCCCTTACCCAGTCACCTGAAGAGGCTAAAGTCTGCAAATCACTTCTAGTGACCTAGAGTCCAGCAGTGGTAGGCCCTGAGACCTGGCAGAGAGAACCAGCCTGGGAAGAATGCAACAGTGCTCAAACACTGGAGGAGGGGGCGGGAGCAGAGCAGGAGCCCAGGTGGTTTCCTGTGCCCCACTCACACTTTCTGGAAGTCCACTGGAAAGAGAAAATATTCCGTTCACACAATCCCAGTCTGGCAATAATAGAAGGACTGAGCAGATAATAGAAGGACTGAGACCCCAGGCTCCTTTCCGTAGGCACCAAATCCTGCCAAAGACAAAACAAAGACACCAGACGATGTGAGAAGGTGCAGAGCGCCAGTTTCGACAAGCAGTCGGGGAGGTGTAAGGCATGGCCCGTTACCACCCACGGCCCTGCCTTTCCTGTGCACACAGAGATGACAGCTCTACTCACAGCAAAGCAGATGGCTGAGGTGTGGAGTCCACTTCAGACTAAGTCGTCTTCAGGATTATCATCACCAGACATAGAGGCAGCTTCTGCTTAGCAGAAATAAGGAGGTTACACAGTGCTCCGTTCCAGTAGGCACTGCCGCTGCATTTGGGGGAAACGGCTTCTTGGTGCTTAGTGAGCACTTTAAGGGCTGGATCCGTCTAGCTTCTAGACACCTACTGAGAGCCAGCAAATATATATCCACAGACTCTGGCGGGAAATGCGGTCTGTACCTGAGAGGCTGAGGCAGGACAGGGCCTTCGGGATCTCTTCAGGGCCCTTCTTGGTCTCTGCAAGCAAGCTGCCAAGAGACGCATCTGCTTCTCTGGTCTGAGGGAATGAAAATGAGAAGGAAAGTGCTGGCTGGTGGGAAGGAGAGGTCAACATATCACTGTGTTCACAGGACCTGGCTGAGCCAGCTAAGGTCGGCTGTGGAGAGAAATACATCTCCTTTTATGATCCGGTGGAGCCATTCATGGTCCTCAGCAAAGCTCTGCAAAGTGTTAGGTATGCCCAGAAGTCCTGATGGGTCCTCCAGGTACCCAACTTGCCTCAAGAAGGCCCCTCGTGGATGACAATGCCTCACTCACCATTTCCTGCGACAATGCTCTGTTTTCTTCTGTGTCTTCAGGAAGTTCAACTGCATATCCTTTACGAACTAATTCCAGCCCAATATCAATTTTCTGAGAAATAAAATGAAAAAGGAAGGACTTTCAGTGAGAAAGGGCAAATCTGAGGAAACAGTGGAAGAGCAAAGATTCCTTTGGGGGTAAGTGAATAGGAGATGATAAGACAGTAATATCAGATAGGGGTTTCTGCGAGGAGCAAGCTAAAGGAGGCTGTAACTAGACCAAGGAGAGTGACCCACACACAGTCTTACCTTCTCACTACTAGTATCATATAAGTAGATCTTGGGCCAAGTTGACGCTCCAGTTTGGACGTAGCTAGAGATCTTGGCAACCAAAGGCTTCCAGTCAGCACAGTGAGTAAGTCTGTCAAACTCATCTAAGGCTGCTTCTTCCCACTGTTCACCTGGCAAAGATTGTAGGAGAGCCGAAGATGGGGTTGGTACTGTCAGGGCGGGGTTATACCCAAAGGGTAACTGAAATGACTGTTTTTATTTGTTTTGGGGCCACAGCAGGCAGTATTCAGAGGCTACTTCTGACTCAGTGTCTGAGAGGGAACCACGGAGCTCTGGGGATTGAACCCAGACTTCTGCGTGCAAAGCATGCACTCAGTCCCTTGAGCTCTCTCACCAGAACTACCTCTTTCCACTACAGAGGGGACTGATACCAGAAAAAATTTCTGGCTCTTTTTCAGGGCTGATGAGGAAAAGGTAACCCAAACCCCCAGAACTGAAAAAGCCCGTGAATATGGGAATCCCGTCTGTGGGCTCTACAGAGGTTTCTGTATTCAGAAGTAAGACCACTGAGGTTTTTTCATTTGTTTGGTTATTTTGGCCACACCCAACCCTGGTGGGGCTCAGGGGTCTCTATGGGGTACTGGGGATCAAACCTGGGTTGGCCGTGTGCAAGGCAAGCGCCCTACCCAATGTACTCTCTCTGGTCCCAGCAAGGCCAATAAATGGTGTGCCCAATTTACCTTTGGGGGCGATCCGAGCCAGGCTACACTCTATTGCTTGAAATGGAAGGCTTAGGAAGTCACTCCTAAAGTGAAAGAAATTGAAATTATAATCCTCGTGTGAGAACGGTATTTAAAAATTTCTTGCTTCTAGGTAGCCCCAACCAGCCCTGATGAAGAATATGACCACTGGCTCCCTGGACATAGGACCCCTTTCAAATCCCCCTGCTGATGAGTACGAAAAGGCCGAGTGGGCAGCTGGGACTCTAGCTGGACTCCTCCCTGGCCTCCCTACACACCTGAGTTCCCTGAGGTCCCCCAGCGGGCAATCTCCATTATCTCCAAAGTCAACAAAGTAGAGGTCCATATTTCCATTTCCCAAGGTACCAAGGACCCGGGCTCGATACCAGGAACCATTTGTAGGTAAAGGTGCAGCTACGATATCACCTACGTTCACAATCAAGTCTTCAGGCTACACATGGGGATGAGAAGTCAGGAAGGAGGAGAGTTAGGAAAGGGTACGCTAAAAGACAAACCAACCAAAAACAAGCAGTGAATACCAGAAGGAAGAGAGCCGCACCACAGAAAGAGAATATGATACAATAGAAAGGATAAGCCCACATAACCCCAACCCTCGCTCTAGGGCAACTTACCGGACTATGATTATAGTGCTGGGTCATCTCACTGACCAGCTTATCCAACTGCAGGCTTCGGGAGCCGATGATTTGGATCCAGAAGTGGTTAGGATGTTCAGAGGCAGAGACATAGACTTCCAGGAACTCATCAGCATGGAAACTGAAGTCAGGACTGGGAACTTAACCACAGAGAAAGTGCAGAATCATCACCGTTTGATATAGGGGTCCAACCACCTCTAGTAAGAATGGTAGGCCACACCTTGGGGGTGAGAGGCACCCAGTCTGAGTCGCTATTACTATTTTAAAATGGCTGCAGGGGCTGGAGCAGTATAATAGTACAACTGATGGCACATTTACCTGCATGTGGCCACCCTGGGTTCGATCCACTGCATCTCATATGGTCCCCCCAAGCACCACCAGGAGTGACTCCTGAGTACAAAGCCAGGAGTAACCCCTAAGCATTGTAGGGTGTGACCCCCAAAAGCCAAAACAAAGCAACAATAACAACAAAAACAGCTGCAGGAGCTGGAGTAATCGTACACCTGGTAAGGCATTTGCGTGGCATGCAGCCGCCACCGGTTCGATCCCTGCCATCCCATATAGTTCCCAGAGCCGGCCAGGAGTAATCGCTGAACACAGAGCCTGGAGTAACTCCTGAGCACCACCAGGTGTCGCCCCAACTGCTCTGCACTCAGCAATCATTCCTTGTGGGGCTTGGAGGACCATCTGGGGTGCTAGGGATTAAACCCAGGTTTGCTGCACTTAAGGCAAGTGACCTATCCACTATACTCTCTTTCCAGCCTTTGTTCTGTATAGCTGGATGTAACTGAGAAATAAGGGAGTTTACAGTCCTAAGTTATTTGCTATATAGACAAATCAGCCACCATATGCTAGCTGCAGCCTGGAGCAGTGACACAGACAGACGGGCCCAGTCCAGACCCCATTCTACCATAGACTCTGGTGACCCTAGGTAAAGGTAAAGGTCCTCCCGTTGATCGTCGATTTGCTTGAACGGGCCCAGTAACGTCTCCATTGGAGACTTTGTTGTTACTGTGTCTGGCATATCTGAACTAGTCTAAATTCTTTGCCCCCCCACCCAGTATTTATTTTTTATTTAAAATATACAGAATGCTTCAGGAATTTCCATGTCATCCTTGTGCAGGGCCCATGCTAATCTTCTTTGTATCATTTTATCTTAAGTATATAATATGAGCTATCAAAGTGAGCACTAAACTAAGTCTGAATTCTTAGGGGTCCTCCTTTGCCGTGCCCATCAGGACACATGCACAGATCTTTTTTCTTTAAAAAGGGTAACTATATATTATCCCGCACGGCAGAGCCTGGCAAGCTCCCGGTGACGTATTCGATATGCCAGACACAGTAACAACAAAGTCTCCAATGGAGACGTTACTGGGCCCGCTCGAGCAAATTGACGAACAACGGGAGGGCCTTTACCTTTTTACCTTATATATTATATTTAGTTCGCTGTTATTTTAAAATTTTATGCGTATATATCTAAAAATTTAATGCCTTTTCATTGAACAAGTTAACTAATGTGCTAGCAAGTGTTCTGCCGTTCATGACATGCACAGATTTTTAAAAGTGGTAATGGATAGGAAAAAAACCATGCAGATCATATTTGAGGGCTAGTGAGATAGCACAGCAGATAGGAAACTCGCCTTGCAGATAGGAAACAACCTGGGTTGGATCCCTGGCATCCCATATGGTCCTCTGAACACCACTAGAAGTGACTCCTGAGTGCTGAGCAGGAATAACCTGAGCACCACCGGGTGTGACCCGTCCCCCCGAAAAAGGTAGTTAAGTATGTTTGATGAAATACGCATTCAAGTATTGATATATTATGCAAAGACCTGTGAACTAGCGTACTTCTTTATTTCGGGGTTACACCTGGCAGTGCTCAGAGCCTATTCCTAGCTCTGTGCTCAGGTGACCATATGGGATGCTAGGGGTTGAACCTGGGTCAGCCACGCGCAAGACAAACTCCATACCTGTTATACTATTGTTCTGGCCCTAGCATATCATTTCCACCCCCATTTATTTATTTATTTTTAAAACCATTCTCCAACATTAGCTGTTTTTCATTCTTTTTTTAAATAATATTTTTAAAATTTTTGAGCCACACCCAGTGATACTCAGGGGTTATTCCTAGCTTTGAGCTCAGGAACTACTCCCGGCAGTGCTTGGGGGACCATATGGGATGTGGAGGATCAAAACTGGGCCACCTGCATGCAAAGCAAATGCCCTTACCTGCTGTACTACTGCTCTGGCCCATTTTCATTTTTTCTGAAAATTATTACTTATGCTTACTCCTACTCTAAGTAAAAGATTGCCATAAAGATTCGCCTAAGGTATAAAACTTACAACTATAGGCAAGGAAATAGGAATTAGCCGCTTTGGGTTACCTAACCCAGTATTTCCATCTCCCATTAGGCTAACAGGTTCCCTCTGCTACCTACTTTCAAACATGGGCATCTCTGGACTGACATCGCCAGACTTTTGAAAGCTGTCATCACTGGGTTTCTCCCAGGGCCCTTCTTCTGGCCCGACACCAACCACGTCACTGACGCCGGAGTGAGGAGGCCGGGCTGGTGCGGACGCCGGCTCCACGGCTTTCCAAGAAGCAGGCTCTCCAGCCCCACCAGCCTCTGGTGCTTCCTCCCGCCTTACACTGATAGGCTGCTTGCGTGGGACTCTGGTTTCCGCAGAATGAGCAATTCTTTTCCGGAGTTCTTCATCTTCTGAAACCTTCTCCAGTATCAGATGCTACGGGAAATAAAAGAAATGCCACTCCGGTGCCCGGGTATTTGGCCCCAGGAGTTAAGAAGTCCTCTCACTCTTAGATACTATCAAGTCTGTCACTTGCCTTGGCTGCTGCCACCTCCTTCTGCGTGCCTGAGATTTTGATGAGTCTTGACAGTAGTAACGTTCCCTCTGATTCTTTGTCACACGTGATTTTTGCTCCAGAGGCCTTACAGATGGAACGAATTGTCTCACCACCTCTCCCTGCATGGAACAGTAACATCAAAGTCTGGACTTTCCTCCTGGCTCACCATTATTTTGTAGAGCTGGAGAGAAGAGTCAGTTCTCATTAGCGAACGGAATAGATGGAAGCCAGGAAAATAGGAACGACTGAGGTCCTTTCTGTAAGAATACTGCATTATTCGCCCTGCTCATTTTAAGCTTGACATAACAGCTCGGTTAACTTCTGCCTGCCCTTTCTCTTGCCGACCCCTCAGCACACTCCATCTCCTTCCAGGTGTGTGGGACACCTCCTGAGGAAGGGCTCTGCGGGAGCTCCTGCAGCAGCAGACGTGCTCGAGGGGCGAGTCTAAGAGCTTCTCTCTCTGGAGTCATGTTCTTCAACACTTTTCTGTCCGTGGCCCCTTTGCCCTTCCTTCCTTCCTATGACTTGCTCCCAGACCTTCCTTCTAGTTGACCCCCAAGTCTCTTGCTGCGGTCCTCCCTTTACATGATTCTTAACCTGTGGCCCCTTGGAATATGCAGGGGAGGGCCCCACTGTGACCCACATGTCTCCTGGTTGAGATACGCTCTACAGCACTATCTCAGAACAGGAGAGCTTTTTTTTCTTGAAACATGCCGAGCTTCCCTTAAAATCTCTAGCATGAGGTAAAAATGTTTACCTGAAGCCCTCGGTTGAACTATATGTAAGGTTCAGATCACACAACTTTTTATTTATTTGCTTTTTTGGGTCACCGGCGGTGCTCAGGGGTTCCTCCTGGCTTTGCCCTCAGGAGTTACTCCTGGTGCTGCTCCGGGGACTATATGAGATGCTGGGAACCGAACCCGGGTTGGCCGCGTGCAAGGCAAATGCCCTCCCTGCTGTACTATGCTCTAGCCCCCAGATCAAACAACTTTTTATAGTGAACGGTTTTGCTCTATCAGAGGTTCTGAAAAAAAAAAAGAAAAAGTAAAGTTCTGGTTTCAGTGTGTCTCTCTTCTCTTTATCTCGGCGAGGGAAAGGAGGCCAGGAAAATCCTTGGAAGGGTATGCAAGAAAGGAAAGGGTCAGCAGAGAGGAAAAAGAGGAGGAAGCCGTGCAGCGATACCTATGATCCTGCCCACAGATCTCTGGGGAACCGAGAGCTGTTCAGACACTGGGGTGTTTTCTGTCAGGATCTGATGGATGGCTGCTTTGGCCTTGCACACCTGAACAGGAAAGCCACTGATAAGCAGCACCCGCTCATCACCCACATCTTCCGTATCGACATCAATCCGAGCACCTGTCTGCTTCCGCAGCTGCAGAGAAAGGGACACAGGGTCATCTGCTCTGCAAGAGTTTCCACTTGAGTCCGCTAAGAACATTCTACACCTAATCCTGGAAGCAGATGGGATTAGATGCAGTTACTGGCTAACTCAGGGTGTTCTTGTATTTACACCACTCATTACTTGTATTTAGGGAGATTTGTGACAGGGTAACTCCAAACAGTAACCAACACACACGCAAAAAACCCCACTGTGTTTAGAACCGTTTTCCCCCTTAATTTTATTTGTAGAACAAAATGAAAATACACCATTTTACTGATTTTCCAACCGTAGATGAATATTGAGAGCAATATGACAGTCATTGCTTGTTGATGAGCGCTCAATAATACCAAAGCAGAAAAAAAGTGATTCAAACTCTAAGCCAAGAATCACCTAATAAAAGATGCCAATTCAAGCGAAGTTGCCCATTCTTCAGGAAGTAGTACTCACCTCTAGCAGGAAAATAGCCCGGGCAGAGAGAAAGCTGCTATATGGATGTGTATATGCACATACACAATGTGGGTGGGTGTTTTTTTGCGTGTGTGTGTGCAGGAGTAGTTTCTGCACTTGGGAATTTCTCCTGGAGGTGCTCGGGGGACCATACGGGGTACCGGAGATCAAAGCCATCTTGGCCACGTGCAAGGCAAATTATAGCACCTGCTGCACTATGATAGCTCAGACCCCAGTACGGGTGGGTTTTATACAATGGGGCAGAGGAAGGAAACAAGAAGTCATCAGTAGAATCAATACCTGGAAGTTCCAAGTTGCACTCTTACCTGTTTAATGTTGGCTCCTTGCCTGCCAATGATTAGTTTCACCGCTTCCTGGGGCACTCGCATCTCTATCTCAATGTCGTCTTCCCCGACAAACGTCAAACGCTCTTCTGCACAGTTCATGGTTCATCAGATCAGACTCACACAATCCCCAAAGCTACTTACTAGCCCTCCCTGGAATCTGCCAAAGAAACACTGACCCAAGAGATGATGGAGGGTCTCAACCAGAATGAAAAGTGGAATTGAGGTTCGGTGGGGGCGGGGGGGAAAGGGGATTCTCGCTGGGGGACTGCTTCAGATGCCAAAATGGAGGAGGGGCCAGAGGGATAGCACAGCGGGGAAGGCACTTGTCTTACATGTGGCTGACCTGGGTTCGATCCCTGGCATCCTATATGGTCCCCTGAGGCCTGCTAGGAGTGATTCCCGAACACAGAGCCAGGAGTAACCCCGGAGTATTACTGGGTGTAGCCCCACCCATGGAAGTAAACAATAAAATGGAAAAAGCATTTGACTCTACAAAGGCAGGGTTCTGGACTATGGGAAAATGATAACTCTAAGACTTGACTCGCAGAAAAAAGGAAGATTAAAAGTGGCCTGAGGAGACCATTAGGCCGCTCACAACTTCTTTCTTCTGAATAATTTCCTAAGGTCCTATTTGCAGCGTCCAGACTATGGGGAAATTTGACCCCATTGTGAATGCCCTAACAACTAAAAGGAGTGTCAGATAAAAAGATAATGGGTGGAGCTGGAGAGAGAGCCCAATGGGTAGAGTGCTTGACTTGCATGCAGCTGATCCAGGTTTGATCCCCCAGCGTCCCATATGGTCCCCTGAGCCCCGTCAGGAGTAATTCCTGAGTACAGAGCCAGGAGTGACCCCTAAGCACTGCTGGGTGTGGCCCCAAAACAAAAAAGATAACAGGTACAGAAACTGGATAAAATTTAAAAAAAAGGAAGAGACAGCTGCAGCACTGATGGTGCTGAAGGAAAGTGAAAAATTATAAAATAAATTCATTTCACGAAGTAACCACACGTTAAAACTATAGAAAAGAAGAAATCAGTTTCAAAACTCCCTCAGTGAAAGCCAATTATCCCCCAGGCACGTGCATGCAATGCCGCACTACCGCCCACCACCCCGCCCCCCTCTGTCAACCCCCAAGGAAAGTTTTTAAGACAGCTGGAATATAGCCTAGATATTCTGACAGAGATAAGTCATGGAGTTCACATACCTCTGCTTTCTCTGTATCTGCGGTACAAGATATAGGCAACTGTTGCACTGGCGGGAATTCCAAGGCCAAGTGCTATTTTCTGAATAGTGGACAAACTTGTCCAAGAAGTCCGTTGAGAGGACATTTTCTGCTTTACTCTGACTTACATCCTGAAATAAGCAAATAAAAGAGACTTACACTCGGCACCATTATGTCTGGCAGAGAGAAATGGAACATACTGTAATGTTATTAAAAAGACCATTTCTGTCTGCTACCCCCTTTTGAGGACTGTCAAAATCTATTTTGTGTAAAAGATTTCAGTAAATTTTTTTGGTGTGTGTGGGGGGGCACACCTGGAGATGCTCAGGGGTAACTCCTGGCGCTGTACTCAGGAATTACACCTGGTGGGGCTTGAAGGATCATATGGGATGCCAGTGATCAAACCAGGGTCGGCCGTGTACAAGGCAAATGCTCTACCTGCTGTACTGTTACTCCAGTCCCTCAGTAATTTTTTTTCCTTTTTGGGTCACACCTGGCGATGCTCAGGGGTTACTTCTGGCTCATGCACTCAGGAATTACTCCTGGCAGTGCTCGGGGGACCATATGGGATGCTGGGAATCGAACTCAGGTCGGCCATGCTGGCTGCGTGCAAGGCAAACGCTCTACCTGCTGTGCTATTGCTCCAGCCCCCCCCCAAGTAATTTTTAAGTTAGATAATGGACACATATCCTACAACTAAATAAAAGTGCTACTTCAACGCACATACATACCAGCAAGAGCTACACATTGATCACAATTTTGAAAACAATAGAAAATAGTATTAAACATTTTTTAAAAAAATGTTTAGTTAAAAATATTTAGTTAAGGGGCTAGAGCAATAGCACAGTGGGTAGGGCGTTTGCCCTGGACCCGGCTTCGATTCCTCCAACCCTCTGGGAGAGCCCGGCAAGCTACTGAGAGTACCACGCCCACACGGCAGAGTCTGGCAAGCTACCGGTGCATATTCGATATGCCAAAAACAGTAACAAGTCTCATAACGGAGATGTTACTGGTGCCCGCTCAAGCAAAGTTGATGAACAACGGGAGGACAGTGCTACAGTTTAGTTAAGAACTTGGTTCTTAAATAAATTCCTCCCAGGTTGGGGAGTATTTTTCCCTTTCTCTTCTACTTTCTAATTGTAGGATCCCGATCACGACCATCCTGTTATTCGTCGACTGCCTCGAGCAGGCCCCAGTAATTGTAGGATAACATTGGTTTATCCTTCTCCCCTGCCACAAGGAGCTTAGGCTTATTGGGTTACACCCATCACAGTGCTCCTGAGTCACTCCCATTCCTTTGTGTGCTTATCTGTAACTTCTCTGTGCTCTCTTCCCCAACCTGTCTATCACCTTTTCCACTAATCAGACTTTGTTAACTTGTAAGGTCAGATCCTTCTAAGGACACGGAACTTGCATGTAAGTTATATACTGCCTTTCCCCTCTCCTTATGTCTTTTGCATAATTTACTTTAAAGCAATGTCCTTTTTGTATAGACACAGGAAGACAGTTAATATTATGTTTTTGTAACTTGGGAGTTAACTGACTCTGAGGAAGGCATCGACTTCCTCGACTTAAGCCACAGTTGTCCTTAGTTCCTAGCAGCTTCAAAGCAGGGTCCTGATGAGGGATTGGATGGACCTAGGGCAAGCTGTGTGCTACCCTGGCTTTGAAATGGGCCAGACCAAAGCGTCACGATACTTACCTATAAGAGCTTGGTCACAAATGCTGTCATGATCCAAAAAGTAACAACAAGATTAGGACCCTGCTAGGGTTAGGGAAGACTAACCTAGCCTGAGTACTGTAGTCTGAGATCGAGATGGCCCCAGGAGAACAATTCTATAAGCTTAATGTATCTTTTACTGTGTCCATACAAAATGACAAATATTATAAATGCTTATATGTTTGTTGGAAAAGGAGAGGAGAAACACACCTATGGGATTCTGCTCTTGGGGGGTGGGTGGGGTCGTCCTGCTGAATGAGAATCTGTCCTAGAAGAAACTTCCCCTGAGGGAAGACTTTACCCCTATTGTGACCACACCTATGTGTAAGTCCCAATTCCTCATGCTTTTGGGATTTAACTAAGACTGTAAGAGTGGGCTGGGGGAGCCAGAAGGAAAATGAAGTAGGAGCCAGAAAGAGAATGAAGTAGCATGGTGGAGGAAGAAGCAGGAGGAGAATCAGAGGAGAACGGAAAGGAGATTGGAATAAACTGCAACTGATACCAACCAGCCTGGCCCTCTTTCCTTCCTTGCCTGTCCATCACCATCGGCCTCCCCGGGGTGGGGGAAGCAGCGGAGACCACCGAACATGGGCGGTGCCAGAGATAGAGATCCGTGGTCCTTTAGTAAATACACACTAATAAAATTATCCCCTAGCCCCAAAGTTCCTTATCTGTGCCCTTGTAGGCCTTGAGGCCTTTCCAAAAGCTGCTCTCTTTTACATGGTTTCCTGATCTAGTTTGAGGCTTTGCTACTTCTACTTTTCTTCCTCAGAAATACAATCTTTTAACTGTCTCTACTCCAAATGTAAGTAGATATTATAATACAAATACAATATGACTTAACAATATTTGTTTTAACATGAAGGAGAAAACAATTTATGCTGTACTTTGCCTCAAGGTAGAAAAAGTTAACCTAAATTATTTGTTTTAGAGTTGCATCTGGCTGTGCTCAGGGCTTACTCCTCACTCTGCACTCAGGATTCACACCTGATTAAAAGTTTTTTCACCTTGGGGATGGTGAGACAGTATAGTAGTCAGGCATCGCATACACTCCCTGGAGCACCACCAGGAATTATTTCTGAATGCAGACCCTGGAGTAAGCCCTGAGCATCGCTGGGTGTGGCTCAAAAATCTTAAAAAAAAAAAAAAGGCTGGATAGGGCCAGAGATAAAGTATAGCAGGTAAAGGCTTGTTTTGCAATGCAGCGGAACTGGGGTTCAATCCCTGCTGTCCCATATGGTTCCCTGAACACCTCCAGGGTTCCTCTGCACGGATCCAGGAATAAGACCTGCATCACCTCAACAAAAATCAAACAAATGTCTGGAAAGATAGTGCAGGAGGAAGGACATGCAGCCAACCCTGGCTAGAGTCCCTGATGTCACTTGCGTCCCCCAAACACTATTAGGGGTCACTTCTGAGCAATAGGCTCTGCATATGTTTAGTGTAACCAACCCCTTTCCCCCAAACAAAAAACCCTTTTTTTTTGGGCAGTGCTCAAGGCTCACCCTTGCTTCTGCACTCAGGGTTCACTTCTGGTGGGGTTCAGAGTCCCAATATGCAATGCCAGGGATAAAACCCAGGTTGGCTGCATGCAAGTGCTTTACCCACTTAAATTTCAACTCCCAAAACCTGGCGTCTAAGTGTGCTTTTTCTGAAAGCTTTTCAGAAGAGTGGTTAGGACAGATAATTGAGCACAGAAATCTCATCCCAAGAATCCCATAAAAATGACTTAAGTGTCGGGTGGGCCCAGAGATAGGCACTTTGAAGCCTGCATATGCAGTTCCACCACTCCCCAGGGATGTCTCATCTTCATCTCCAGAATCCCAGGAACCCAAACAAAAGACTTTGGTGCTAGCTAAGCAAACCCCGTCTGAGGCCTCCTTTACTTCAACGTGAATCCTCCTTTAAACACAGGTGGGCGGGCTTATGCCCATTAGCTTCTCCAGGGACTTGTGCGATCCACCCTGGAGCACAATTTCCAATAAGCCCTATTTCAGCATAATTCTCCTTTCGGAATCCATTTCTTCCTTTCCAAAATCCTGTCCCAGACCTTTCAATAAGGACACTGTGGATGTCTTTCTTACTACCTGGGGACCAAATTTTGCATCTGGCCTCAAAGAATTTTATTGACCTGGAACTTTAGAGCCAAAAACTGCTCAGTGGCAGAGAACATGTCTTGCATGCCTGAGACCACAATTCTGATCCCAAGCCCCACAAAAACAAAAGTGCTTTAGAGAACTATCATAAGTCTGCCAAGTCTCATTTTCTTCTAGCCAACAGTTTCAAACAAACGGGATCCACTCCTTTTGCCCAGACTCATGGCCTGAGAAGCTGAAAACAAAATTTCCATTAGGTATCTTGGTGATTTGAATTCCTCTTTCAAATGTTTTGTTCTTCCAGGCAATTACTTCCATGCAGGACAGGTCATGTTTGGGGTCCATCACCTTAGGGCATGTGCCTCCCTCTGCCCGTCAACCCCCATTCTACTCAGTTGAAGAAAACAGATGATTCTGTGGTAGAATTAAATGCTGGATTAAACTGGTTTGAGTTACAACATGCTCAGGACCCATGCCTTGCTCTCTGTTGAGGATGAAACTGAGTCCATGAACAAGTCCAAGTGCCTTCACTCTGTGTTATCCCCCCCCCCCCCGCCCCGTCTCTCTCTCAAATAGGGGCTCCCTGCAGCATCAGCAGTGCACTCTGCCACTTGTGCTCTCGAGCAGAACTTTTCCCAAACTGCAAATAAACTCTATCACCATTCTGAAAGTTTGGGTGTTAATAACATAAATATCTTTATTCAGGGGCTGGAGAAAGTGTACAGTGGTAGGGTCTTGCACGAGGTCAAACCAAGTATGAGCCCCACAAAGAGTAATTCCTGAGTATAGAGAGCCAGGAGGAACCCCTAAACATCACGGGGGGGGTGCAAAACATCCTAAAATATATAAATCTCAAATTACATTCCTTATCAAAAGTTTATTCTGGGTGGCTAGAAAATACTTCACTCTGGGACCGTAGTGATAGTATTACAGGTCAACCCCTTGCACAAGGCTGGTATCTGGCATCCCTTATGAGCCTACCAGCAGTAATTCTTGAGCACAGAGCCAGAAGTAACCCCTGAGCACTGCCAGATGTGGCAGGTAGGGCACTTACTTGCCTTGTATGTGGCCAGCCTAGGTTGGGTCATTGGCATCCCGGAACACTGCCAGGGGTAATTTCTGAGTGTAGAGCCTGGAGTAACCCCTGCACATCACTGTGCATGACCCCAAAACAACAACAACAAAACACACACACAAAATCAATCTAAGCAAACACACCCCAAGACTGAAACCTAGTATCATAGGAAAGAGAAACCCCCAAACAATTACATATAACAATGCAATATAAATTTTTGGTGACTACAACAACTGGCCATGTTGGCTGTATGCAAGGCAA